ACTCCCTAGGAAAAAACCTCCAGGGCCAGATGGATTTACATTTGAATTCTATCAAACATTTAAAGAACAATTAATTCCAATACTATATAAACTATTTGGTAAAATAGGTAAAGAAAGAATCTTACCAAATTCTTTTTATGATACAAATATGGTGCTGATACCTATACCAGGAAGAGTCAAAACAGAGAAAGAAAATTATAGACCAATTTCTCTAATGAATATAGATGCAAAAATTTTAAACAAAATGTTAGCAAATAGATCACAGCAACTTATCACAAGAATAATACACTATGACCAGATAGGATTTATACCAGGAATGCAGGGCTGGTTCAATATAAGGAAAACTATCAGCATAGTCCATCATTTCAACACCAAAACTAAGATTATCTCAATAGATGCAGAAAAAGCTTTTGACAAAATACAACACCCATTCCTATTAAAAACACTAGAGAGGAGCAGTATAAATGGAGTCTTCCTTAAAATAATAAACAGCATCTATCTGAAACCTTCAGCAAGCATCATATGTAATGGGGACAAGCTAGAAGCATTTCCAGTAAGATTGGGGGTGAAACAAAGATGTCCATTATCACCACTGTTATTCAACATTGTACTGAAAATGTTAGCTTTAGCAATAAGAGAAGAAAAAGACATTGAAGGCATTAAAATAGGCAAAGAAGAAACAAAGCTATCACTTTTTGCAGATGACATGATGTTATACTTAGAGAATCCCAGAGAATCAAGTAAAAAACTACTTGAAATAATAAACAACTTTAGCAAAGTTTCAGGCTATAAAATAAACCCACATAAATCATTGGCATTTCTATATATTACCAACAAAGCCCAACAGCAAGAGAAAGAAAGATAAATTCCATTTAAACTTACTGTAGACATTATAAAATATTTAGGAGTCTACCTCCTGAAACAAACCCAGGAACTGTATGAACACAATTAAAAACACTTTTCATGCAAATGAAATCAGATCTAAATAATTGGAAAAACATCAGTTGCTCATGGGTAGGCTGAGCTAATGTAATGAAAATGTCAATTCTACCTAAGCTAATTTACTTATTCAGTGCCATACCAGTCAAACTAACAAAAAATTATTTTATAGAGTTAGAAAAAATAATAAGAAGATTCATTTGGAAGAACAAAAGGTCCAGAATATCAAGAGAACTAATGAAAAGAAATGCAGGGGAAGGTGGCCTAGCCATTCCAGATCTTAAATTGTATTATAAAACAGCAATCATCAAAATTGCTTGGTACTGGCTACGAAATAGAGTGGTGGATCAGTGGAATAGGTTAAGTATGCAAGACACAATAGTCAATGACTATAGTAATCTATTATTTGATAAACCCAAAGACCCCAGCTTCTGGAATAAGAACCCACCCTTTAAAAAAAACTTCTGGGAAATCTGGAAAAGAATATGGCAGAAACTAGTCATAGACCAAAATCTCATACCATATACCAAAATAAAGTCAAAATGGGCACATGATTTACATATAAAGGCTGATACTATAAGCAAACTGAGAGAGCAAGGCATAGTTTACCTGTCAGATCTATGGAGAACAGAAGAATTCATGACCAAACAGGAGATAGAGAACATTACAAAAAGCAAAATAGATAATTTTGATTACATTACATTGAAAAGTTTTTGCACAAACAAATCCAGTGCAACTAAGATTAGAAGGAAGGTAGAAAATTGGGAAAGAATTTTTACAACCAGTCTTTTTGATAAGGGCCTCATTTCTGAAATATATCGAGAATTAAGTAAAATTTATAAGAATACAAACCATTCCTCAATTGATAAATGGTCAAAGGATATGAACAGACAGTTCTCAGATGAAATTAAAGCCTTCTATAGTCATATGAAAAAATAATTTAAATCACTATTGATTAGAAAAATGCAAATCAAAACAACTCTGAGGTACCACATCACACCTATCAGAATGACCAACATGATAAAACACAAAATTGATAAATGTTGGAGAAGATGTGGGAAAATTGGAACACTAATGCATTGTGGGTGGAGTTGTGAAATGATTCAACCATTTTGGAGAGCAATTTGGAACTATGCCCAAAGGGATATAAAAATGGGCATACTCTTTGACTCAGCAATAGCACTTCTAGGGCTATATCCCAAAGAGATCACACAAATGGGAAAAGGACCTACATGTACAAAAATATTCATAGCAACTCTTTTTGTGGTGGTAAAGAATTGGAAAATGAGAAGATGACCATCAATTGGGGAATGACTGAGCAAGTTGTGGTGTATGAATGTGATGGAATACTCTTGTGCTATAAGAAATGATGAACAGGCTGACTTCAGAAAAACCTGGAAAGACTTGTATGGTCTGATGCTGAGTGAAATGAGCAGAACCAAGAGAGTGTTGTACACAATAACAGCCACATTGTGTGATGACTAATATTGATAAACTTAACCCTTCCTGGCAATACAAGGATCTAAGACATTTCCAGAGGCCTTGTGATGGAAAATACTATCCACACCCAAAGAAAGAACTATAGAAGCCGAATTGTTATTTTTTTCTCTTCTGTTGAGTTTTGTTTCCTCTTTCTGATGGTTCCTCCTATCGGTTTTAATTTCTACTTACAACATTACTAATGTGAAAATAAGTTTAACATGAATGTAAATGTATAGCTTATATCAGATTGTGTGCCATCTTGGGGAGGGTGGTGGGGAGAAAGGGGGAGAAAAATTTTAAACTCAAAAGTATAAGGTAGTAGTTCCATAAATAGAGAAGGGGTCAAATGAGAGAATTGTTTTCAAGGTAGCAATAGGAAGATCTGAAAACTCATTGGATAAGTGAGAGAGTATTAGATATTTAGAATACTGCCAGAGTAACAGACCTGGGAGAATAGAATCATGGTACTGCCTTTAACAGAAGTGATAAAGTGTGATGACATTATGAAGGAATAAAGTTTGATGACATTGTGGGGGGGGGTGTCACAAGGTAGAGTTCAGTTTTAGGTACGCTGAGTTTTAAGATTTCTCTGGGGACATCCAGTTTGAAATATTAAATATTCACTCCTTGCGAAGGTCAGATTTTACATAAGATTTGAAAGGAGCCTAGAAATCTAGCAGGTAGAGATTAAGTGAGGGAAAGTTATAGTTCTTGGGAATAACCAGTGAAAATGCACAGAGTTGGGGGATAGGATGTGTTGGGTGGGGAATAGCAAGGAAACTAGTATCACTGCATCAAAAATACTGGAAAGAGAAGAAGCTACCAGGTTATGAAAGCTATTAAAATCCAACAGAAGTTTTTATATTTGATTTCAAATGAAACAGGGAGCCACTGTAGTTTATTGAATGGAAAAGTGACCTGATCAGATTTAGGAAGATTCCTTTAGAATCTGAGTTGGAGGTGTGAAAAGACTTAAGGCAGACAGACTATCCAGAACAATCAACAATCAACTGTTGGAGTCCTGCTTCTGACAAATAACAGCTGTGTGACCTTGAACATTATTTATCCTCTCAGTTACTTCAATAAATTTTTTTAAAATTGTAGCTACAGAGTATTTACTAGCCTACTTCAACAGAGAATGCTTCTACAACAGGAGTTCCTTACAGAAATAAAATCAGAGGTATGGACTTACTGCCATCTTGGACAGTTGACTCAGAGTATTCAGACCACTAAAACCCCAATGTATTTTTCATATGAAGAGTTCTAAAATAACATCTTCCCCTGTCCAGTACTATACCAGTGCAACTGATGTTTCAATCTAAATATAACATTTGAAATCCATCCCTATTAAATTTCATTTTTTATATTTTCCATATTGTTCTAGACTTCTTTTCTATCTTATTTCCAGTGTCACCCTTTTCTCTTTCAATCTTCTCTAATCTACCCTGCACAGTGCCATATTAATTAGCCTCATACTTATGATGATCTTGATCATGGCTTTCCCCACTCAAAGTCTCATTATATTCCATAGTATGATCTACGATCCTAGCATTTATATAGTACTTTAAGTTCTGCAAAGCCCTTGACATGTTGTCTCATTTGACCCTCACAGCAACTCTGTGAAGTAGGTGTTATTATCCAGATTTTACAGATGGGAAAACTGAGACATAGATTGATAGAAATAAAACATAGACAATGAAGGATGAATTGTCTTTCCTATAAATCTTTACATAAAGTTTATTAGTTTTAGTTGATGTTTTCATGAATATAATATATGATAAAATTATTAAATATTTATTCATAAAGAGGTGCTTGAACTAGTTCATATCTATAAGGCTGGTTGTTCTTGAGGTAAAATGATATGACTACTAAAAATATTTGAATTTTTGATTGTTCAAGTAAGACCTTTTGAGATTTCTTGATTTTTAAAATCCTTGAAAAATCAAAACACTAATTTCTATGATTCATAGTTTGATTTTTAGCATTAATAAATATATACACATATGTATAGGATAATTTGTTCTGATATACAAATTATGTGAATGGACATATGTATATCTATATGTATTTATAAGTATATGCATGTACATGATGTTTTGATGTATTTCTTTGACAATAATAATCTATTTGAGTTACACTTTCATGGTCTTGTAGTAAATGAGATATTTGTGAAATACGTTGTTTACATTTTATCAGTTTACATTCCATGTTATCAAATATAAAGAAGAGAAGATTTACTATGATAGATTTATGCTAGGAACTGATGGTTAAGGAAAGTGATTTGCATTATCCTCAAGCTTTTAATGCATTCTTTCTTCAAATCAATAGAAAACTTAGAGCAGAATAGCACTTTAGAAAATACATTAGAAAGCCAACAACCCTGCCTGTTATGCTGTTGATAAAAGCAGGAAAACAATAACATCACCAGATCATAGCAGCTAATATTCAAATTCTTTTTTGTATTAAGTCAAAAACAAAGTTCGTTCTCTAGTAGTTTCTATTTTACTTTTTAAATGACATATGTGGGTGTGGGGAATTGGAGGTGGATGTGTATCTTTTTTTGTTAATTTATTTTCCAGCTAATTCAGATCATCAGTGCTGTGGATAGGGATGCTTCTGCAGAAGACCATTTGTTTTACTTCAATCTGTCTACAGAAGCCACAACCAACTTGAGTTTTACTGTCAGAAACAATCAAGGTACTGTCACTTAACATCCAGCCTTTCACATCTTTCTTCATGAAGTTTTTCATGCATATAATGGGTGTTAATAAAATCATGTTTTGCAAATGATTTTCCCTCATTTCAATTTTATAATGTTGGAAATTAGATCACAGAAACAAGAATGAAAATGGAGAAGCAACATGTTTATTAAGGTAGTTTGAATTATAGCAACTGTTTCTCTTAAAATTTGTCCAAAGAAGAAAGTCTTTTTTTTTTTTAATAAATGCTTAGTAGTTCTATGTTTTGGTATGACATAGAAACATTGAATGGCAAAGGAACTGGGCCCTTTAAGTGCAAATTGCAGATCTGATGTTGACATTTTATGTCTGTAACTAATTCTTTCTTCTACTTTTAACCATGAAAGGGTTTGATGTATATCTGTTTCTTAGATATGTTGGGTTGATAGATTGAAAGACATTTATAATCATTAACTGGTGACTGTAATTGTCTCTGCAATTATTCTGCCTATATTCTGCAAATAGCAAAAAAAGAGCTATCATTGACTTCTCACGACTCATTTTCCCTTCTCAATTTGAGGAATGAAGTTCTCCAAAAAATAGGGAAAATGAGGTGGGGCTAGGAATCCTATTTTAAGGCGTGCATAAATCAATATGTTCAAACAAAATTGGCCTTAACCTATCTTTGTTTAACCAATCTTTTTTTTTTTAAATAACTGGATAGAAAAAAATACATATGTTATATAACTAACTTTATTATAACTTACTTCATTATGTAAATAACTGACTTTATTATATAATTAATATTTATAAAAACATAATACTTTAATAATTCAAAGTATCCTTGATTTCTCTACTCCTAAGGATAGTTATCATATTAAAACAAAGAAACAAACAACAAGGACAAGAACAAAAACAGTTACCACAGAACTTTATAACTTCCTCAAATAAAATATAACCAAGATTTTCTTCTGGTTCTTTAAAAAATAATATCTCAGCAAAATTATAAGTTAAAATATAGGATCAACAATAAAGATCATATGGTTTAGGGTCATAGGATCATAGTCCTAAAACTAGAAGATGCTTCAGAGGCCATTGTGTCTATAAATTCTTAATTTTACAGATGAGAAAGCTAAAAAAAAGTGATTTAGTGATTCATCTAGGGGAACAAAAGAGATCGTTTATCAGGGTCTGAATCTGAATCTAGCTAGGTCTTCTGACTGCAGAACCAGTTTGTATTGTACCTATTATGAAAGAACTTTTGACATTTATTTAGTTTATCATAGCATTTAAAGTATAAGCATTGATTTTTGATGACACTGTGTGAAGACTTTTTTTTCTGTTTATTTTAATGCTATGCAGTTCTGATATTGATTCAAATGCAAAAATATTATATTATAGGGGACATTATTTTAATGCAATCTGACAAGAAAACTTTGTTATACAGTAGATTAAATTACACTAGGGGAAAAACACCTAAAGCTTATCTTTTGAGGTTCAAAGATGAGTAGTTCCAAACTCTCCTAAAATAAACATCTCACATTGATTTGGTTAATTATTTGGGTAAATCAGTGTGACTACATTTTCAATGGTCATTGTATATTAAATAGGAAAGGGGTTTTCTTAACCTTAGATTTAAATAAAATCTTTTAATTAAGTTTTTCTTATAAGAAGTCATTAATTCTTCCATAACTACCAGTAACCAGATTTCCAGTGTTATTCTTAATGTTATTTTGGCACTTTTCAACTGGATATTTATATATAATAATAGTACTTAAGGCAAACAGATGTGTACAGTTATTAAAGAAAGTTTCCATGTATTTCAATAGAAATAGTTCATACTCAAGTATACTGGAGAAAATAATAAAGTCAATATATAAGAGAAAGTTTAATTTAATCTTTGTAACACTTTGGGTGATGATGTACAGTTTACAAAATGTTGTTCCCCTGTATCACATAGTTATGCAGTGAAAATGTAATTTTGAAAAATGATTTAAAATGTATTACCATATTTACAATATTATGATTAAGGTAGTGATATAACTGATGAAAATTTCTGATTACTCAATACACCCTGTCTTTTTGGAAATTTATATTTGCCTTGCTTTTTGGTGCCTTTAGCTGAATTGTACTTCTTTGTACTTTACATTAAAAGAAAGAGCTGTTAAATTGTGTTTCTGTATTAATTTTTAGATAACACAGCTGGAATTCTGACCACCAGGAGTGGCTTTAGCCGCCAAGAACAGCCTGTCTTCTATCTGCCAATTTTAATTGCAGACAATGGAATTCCACCACTTACAAGTACAAATACTCTTACTATCCATGCCTGTGATTGTGATGAGAGAGGTGGTACCCAGTCCTGCACATATGGAGCTCTTACATTTTCCATGGGTTTCAGCACAGAAGGTTTAATTGCTATTTTGGCCTGTATGCTAATAATATTAGGTGAGAAATACAGCATTGCTTCTGATATTGATTGTTTTTATAAGATGACATAATCCATATACAGTAAGAAATTTTTATGTTCTTTTTTAATACAATATAAAGATCAATATGAATATGGATATATTTGCTTTACTGTTGTCACATTTGAAATTACATAAAATTACTCAAGATACTGAAACACCAATTAGGGACCTAGACTTATGAATTAAAAGTCAGAAAGTATTTTGCAGTGAGGTGATGATCATAGTATATAAGTATGTGCATCTGTGTGTGATTGTAAAAAAAATTGTAATTTATTTGTAACAATGGTCTATTTTCAAAAATTTAAATAATTATTATATAATTGCTAGAATTGAAAGTGTCTTAAATAGATATATATCTGCAAATTATATCATACATACATACATATATACATATATGTAGAAAATAGTCTTCTAAGTGCTTAACACATATTAATACTTTTCATCCTCACAATAACCCTGGGAGGTAGGTACAATTATTCCCATTTCACAGATGAGAAAACTGAGGAAGATAAATTGAGTGATTTGTCCAGGAACATACAAGTAAGTATCTGAGGCTAGACTTGAACTTGGATCTTCCTAATTCCAGGCCCAGCTATCTATCCAATGCTCCATCTAGTTGACAAATAATGCATATCACCAAAGCATTTATGAATGTTCTATCTAGAAACAATCATGCTTAAAGCATGGGAAACATATGGGAGTTGGGAGGACGGTTTCATAATAGAGGGCTAGGCCCAGATATGGAAAAGGAAATGGCACACCACTCTAGCATCTTTGGCAAGAAAACTTCAAATGAGATCACAGAGAGTCAGACACAACTAAATGACTTAACAACAAAAGGCCCAGATAATCAATGCTCCTTGAAAGAACATCAAGAGATTGTGTCCAGGTGGAGCCAAGAAGGTGGAGTAAAAGCAGTGATTTCCTTGAGCTCTTCCCCAAACCCCTCCAAATACCTATTAAAATGGCTCTAAACAAATTCTAAATCAGCAGAACCCACAAAAAGACATAGTGAAACAAATTTACAACCCAAGATAGCCTAGATGGTTGATTGGAAAGGTATATCACGCTGGGCGGGAGGAGGAGCACAGTTCAGCATGGGTGCACAGGCCTCAACGAACCTGGAGCAGGACTCAGAGGACTAATTACAGGCAGCTGTGGTGGTTTCCAGACCTCTCAACCCAGAAGGTCGGTGGGAAAAGTCTGTGTCTGCGTTGAGAGAGAAAAGCACAGTCTCAGCCCCAGTCCCCAAGCCCTGGGGCAGCAGCTGCTTCCAGAGCTTCCAGCCCACAGACTGAGGGGGAATCGAGTGGCTGATCAGAGGGGGATTCCACGGATCTCTCTGTTAGTATAGGATTCTCTTGCTTTACCCATGCTTGGATCTGGGTCACAGTTCTGGGTGGCGGTCCTGGGGTGAGGAGGAGAGCTGGCATAGTGGAACTTGTAGTGGCTATGGAGAGAGAATCCTCCTCAAAGTTCCAAGACAGAAAAGAGTGTTTGTGGTCACTCGTAGACCACAGCACAGGCCAGGAAAGGAGTAAACACCTCACCCTTGATCATAGCACCTTGGAAGAACTGAAAATTTACAGGTTCCTAGAAGTATCTCTGAAAACAGCTACACAAAACCCCTTAAGTTTGGGACAGTACATTCTCCAAAGTGGAAGCAGACCTCTTCCTTAACAAAGAGTTTATAACTCAAATAATTGGCTAAGATCATGAGCAAGCAGTGCAAAAAGAGTTAGACGATAGAATCTTATTTTGGTGACAAAGAAGATCAAAACATACAACCAGAAGAAAAAAACAGAGTCAAAGTTCATATATCTAAGACCTCCAAGAAAATATGAATTGGTCCCAGGCCATGGAAGGGCTCAAAAAGGATTTTGAGAAGCAAGTAAGAAAAGTGGAGGAAAAATTGAGAGTAATGCAAGAAAATCATTAAAAACAAGTCAACAGCTTGCTAAAGGAGACCCAAAAAAAATTCTGAAGAAAATAACACCTTAAAAAATAGCCTAACCCAAATGGCAAAAGAGGTCCAAAAAGCCAATGAGGAGAAGAATGCCCTAAAAAGCAAAACTGGCCAAATAGAAAAGGAAGTCCAAAAGCTTACTGAAGAAAATACTTCCTTAAAATTTAGAATGGAACAATTGGAAGCTAGAGACTTTATGAGAAATCAAGATACAGTAAAGCAAATCCAAAAGAATGAAAAAATAGAAGAGAAGGTGAAATATCTCATTGGAAAAACAACTGACCTGGAAAATAGATTCAGTAGAGAGAATTTAAAAATTATCAGGCTATCTGAAAGCCATGATCAAAAACAGAGCCTAGACATCATCTTTCAAGAAATTATCAAGGAAAACTGCCCTGATATTTCAGAACCAGAGGGTAAAATAGAAATTGAAAGAATTCGTTGATCACATCCTGAAAGAGATCCCCAAAGGAAAACTAGGAATATTGTAGCCAAATTCTAGAGTTCCCAGGTCAAGGAGAAAATATTACAAACAGCCAGAAAGAAACAATTCAAGTATTGTGGAAACACAATCAGGATAACACAAGATTTATCAGCTTCTACATTAAAAGACCGCAGGGGATGGAATATAATATTCCAGGAGTGCAAAGGAGATAGGATTACAACCAAGAATCACCTACCCAGCAAAAGTTAGTATAATCCTTCAGGGGAAAACAATGGTCATTCAGTGAAATAGAGGACTTTCGAGCATTCTTGATGAAAAGACCAGAGCTGAATAGAAAATTTGACTTTTAAATATAAGACTCAAGTGAAACATGAAGAGGTAAATAGGAAAGAGAATTCATAAGAGACTTATTAAGGTTGAACTACTTACATTCCTGCAAAGAAAGATGATATTTGTAACTCATGAGACCTTTGTCAATAGTAGGGTAGTTGGAGGAAAATAATTATATGTATGTATGCATAGATAGATAGATAGATAGATAAAGGGCACAGAGTGAGTTGAAGATGAAGGGGTGATATCTGGAGAATCAAATTAAGGGGTGAGAGAGGATTATACTGGGAGACAGAGAAAGAGAGAGGTAGAATGAGTTAAATTATCTCACATAAAACAGACAAGAAAAGGCTTTTACAGTAGAGCGGAAATGGGGGAAGGTGAGAGGGAATGAATGAATGAATCTTGTTCTTATTGGATTTGGCTTAAGGAGGGAATAACATACACACTCAATTGGGTATGGAAATCTATCTTACCCTACAGGAAAATGGGGGGGGGGGAGAGGACAAGAGGGTAGGGAGATTATAGAGGGAGAGTAGATTGGGTTGGGGGCATTCAGACGCAAACACTTCTGAAGAGGGACAGGGTCAAAAGAGACAATAAAATAAATGGGGGGTGGGATAGGATGAAGGGAAATATACTTAGTTTTTCACATGACTACTATGGAAGTGTTTAGCATGACTACACATGTATAACCTGTATTGAGTTGCTTGCCTTTTCAATGAGGGTGTGTGGGGAGACAGGAAGGGAGAAAATTTGGAACCCAAAGTTTTAAAAACACATGTTAAAAAAATTGTTTTCACATGCAACTTGGAAATAAGAAATACAGGAAATGGGTTACAGAAATCTATCCTGCCCTACAGGAAAATAGAAGGGAAGGGGATAAGAAAAAGGTGGGTGAGATAAAAGAGAGGGCAGATTAGGGGAAGGGGTATACAGAATGAATGCCATCTTGGGGTGGGGGAAGGATGAGATGGAGAGAAAATTTGGAACTCAGAATCTTGTCGAAGTGAATGTTGAAAACTAAAAATAAACAAAGATATGAAAAAGATCCAAAAAAATAAAAAATTAAAAAAATTAAAATAAAGAGATTATCGCCTTTAGTTCTCTACCTTCAAGAACGTAAATTATTATTCTTCCCATTTTTCTAATGCTATAATCAGGACCTTATGTAAAGGCACACAGCTAATAAACTATGGAAAAACACATTTTCTTCCTAATACAGTTTGACTCCCATTAGAAGTTCCTATAGGAAGGACAATGGAAGGGAAAGGAAAAATCATGGGGAGAAGATAAGTACAAAGCTAACTAATAAAGTGGTAGAGAAAAATACAAAGATGAGGAAGAAATAAAAAAGACATCCCTATAAATACAGCAACTTCTCTTTTAACTCTTGGTCTTAGCTGTTAATGAGAAGAGAGGATTCTTAATTTTGTATGTAGGAGGAAAATTTAAGAATTAAATAATATAAAATATAGTTTTTAGTACTCTTAAGAAGCTACTGTAGTAAAGAAACAGAAAAAATAGCCCTTGTAAGCCTAAGAGAGTGTCCATTCATAGGCAAAGTGGACCTTTAGTAACTTCTTGAGCAGATACCATATTTAACGACAATTTGCGTGAACAGAGACCTGGAATGAAGGTTGGAGAGGGGAAAAAAATCCATAAATTAATTCTTTTTGGAATTGTTATAAGCTTCTTCTCCTGCTCATGTATATTACACTTTAATTTATTCAAAGAAATGCTTATAAAGTGCTTTACAATCCATAGATATTATATATCCATTAGTATTTTTCTGTAATTATTATTGTTGTTATTAAGAATGTTCATATTTTAATGAGCTTAAATGGAAATTGTCCTCAGACAAGTCACTACCAGCTATTGTTATTTAGTATTTAATGTTTTATTAATTATTGAAAAATGCATAAAAGTGCTGCTTTTTGTCATTGAAAATATTGGGGTGTATTCTCATCTTCTGTAGGCTTACTGAAAGCATCTTCATAATAACTCCATTAGCAGATATTGGGAATAAGCTTTATCTCACCTTGTTTCAGCATGATTTTAGTAACTTCTGCTAGGTCTCAATATTTTGAAAGCTTTTTATTTTACACAGCTTGGAGATAATAAGTATTTGGTTTATTTAATAAAGATATCTATTAAAATGTTTTCCTTAAATTTTTATTCATCAATACTTTTATCACAAAATTATAAGTAATAGTTCTTAGTATGACAACTTTATTTCCAGTGCAGTTATTGGTTAAGTTCCCAAAACAAGGCTGAGGTCTGTTTGTTTTTGTTTGTTCATTCTTTTTTTTGATTTACATTGAGATTTCTTATTTATCAGTTTATTAAAGACAACAAATATCTTAAACATGTTAAATATAATTCCAACCTTCAGGTAATGCCTTGATAGATATTCTCTTGATGCTGAATTTTTACAGTTACTATTATTCTCTTGAATAATCTGTATTGATTATTAAATCATGGCTCTTTAAGAATAGCAATTCTGTAAGTTGTGATGACAGGGCAGCTAGGTGGCGCAGGGGATCGAGTGTCAGGACTGGAGTTAGGAAGACCTGAGTCCAAATCTGGCCTTAGATATTTTCTGGCTTCATGGCCCTGGGCAAATCACTGAACCCTCTTTGCCTCAGTTTCCCAATCTGTAATATGAGCTGGAGAAGGAAATGACAGACCAATTCAGTATCTTTGCCAATAAAACTTTAAATGGAGTCACAAAGAGTAAGACACAACTGAAATGATTTCTTGTGTCAACAATCTGATCCTGAATTGGCATTAAAAAACTGCTATTATTATATAAACAAATTCTCCTGAATTAAAATGATGGAAATATTGCTTTGAAAAAAGTGTTATTTCACAAAGGAATCTCTGTAAATAAACAAATGTATACCACTTCAAAATCTAGTCTCCCATAGAGAGCTCTTCTTCCATTTAGAAAAAAATCTAAACAATACAGTTCACCAAAAAATTCGGAAGCAGCCCTAGGGATATTTAAAGAATTACAAATGCATATAGAAGAGAAAGAAGACATTTGCTTTTACCCTTTTTTCTCCGGATTTTGATGGATTTAAAGGAAATAAAATTTTAAATAGATTGTCAATATCTTCTGCTATAAAACCAACCTCCTCAAAATAGTACAGGTATACTGAGACAGGTTCATTTCTCTAAACTATCAGCCAAAAAAGATTACTAAATTTCCTTAATCCATTTTAAAAGTCCCTGTACAGTTAGCTACTCAGCAGCAAATTTGTTCACTTTATATTCATAAAATCCCAACTCTATAAAGCAAGGTTTATATTTGAACTTGAAGCAATATCAAGATTTGTAAAGTTACATTGTTCTTTTAATATCTTACTAGTAGTTAATGAAGCTTCCTTTGTGTTTGCATGTATTTTCTTTTCAGTGTTTGTCTTCATGATCCTGGGCCTAAAGCAGAGACAGAAACAAGATCTATTTCTTGAAAAGGGTGAAGAATTTAGGGAGAATATTGTCAGATATGATGATGAAGGAGGTGGAGAAGAAGATACAGAGGCTTTTGATATTGCAGCACTGCGGGCCCGCACTGTAATAAGAGCAAGAAAGACTCGGAAAAATATCACCACTGAAATCAGGAGTCTATATAGGCAATCTCTGCAGGTGGGTCCGGACAGTGCTGTGTTCAAGGAATTCATTTTGGCCAAGCTTGAAGAGGCCAATACAGATCCTTGTGCACCTCCCTTTGACTCTCTACAGACTTATGCATTTGAGGGAACAGGGTCACTAGCTGGATCTCTTAGCTCCCTGGAGTCAAGCATTTCAGATCCAGATCAGAATTTTGATTACTTAACTGAATTAGGACCTCGCTTTAAAAAATTAGCAAGCATATATGGCTCCAGATTTCATGCAAAGAATTAGTTTTCTAGGGGATTAAAAAAAAAGATATAGTAGGGTATATGTGATCCTATGGTCTACCAAATTCGATAAATTAGCAGATCATATGTAAACAAGTGTATTCTATATCTCTGTACTGCCAATCAGCTTTTCTTGGTTTTCTGGCTGTTACTGAATCTGCTCCATTACCTACTGTGATCATCTTCTAAATTGCATCCTAATGACCACAAAGAGTTAATGGTTCTTCTTAAGTACTGTCTCCTGTCTCATATGTAAAGAGCAACTTGAGCAGTGAACAGAATCAGATTTTATAAGTTGTACCTTTGGGAGGACCTAATGGTATGATATAACTTTGAAGAATACTTAAATGAATGAATGGGTTCCTGCCTGAGAATCTTTTTAGTCCTCTAGGTCCTCCCTTGTAAATATTCTGCCTGAGTTAATCTTTAAAATATCTCCAAAGTGTGGCATATAACAGGATTATATTAATTAACCAAAGCTACAGTGTTTAAAATATGTGTTATATTTAGTAAGGTGGAAACTTAACTGTAAAAAAAAATGGGAATGTGTATAAGAAGCACTTATGGAATATTTATTTATTTTTCCAGTGATAAAACTAAAAATATTTTTATCACTATCAAAATGAAGATCTATTATGCAGTGTCAACATTTATTCATCATTAAATTTGAATTTTTTATGAAATTATTGGAAATGTGTTAAATTCACAATTAACATTTCATTGGTTTATAAAGTTATGAAAAAGTACTTTCAAGCTTGAATTAATATTCATCTTAAACATGATAATCAGTTATATTGTCTATTATAGTACATAAAATCCAATACTGTACAATTCAGGACATTTTCCCTTTTTTTAAGAGCTAAGGAGATGACTGATTTCTTAGCACAGGTTTTTTATTATGGAATATAAAATTAGGTACAGTAGTCATTTTATTATAACAGTATTAAGGAACTTTAAAATGCTAAGCTGCTGGACATAAAACTTTATGGTTAACATTAGATAATAAGATAGTAAAACACTTTATTTTCAATCCACCTCTTCAGAAAAGGTTCTTTATTACATCAAAATCAAGTCAGACTTTAAAATCCATTTCCTTTTCTAGTTTTTGGATGGAAGTTATTGAATAAAATGTGCTCAGAAGTCTTTTCTTTTACTGTTTCTGAATATATATATGTATATATATAAAACTAGAAATGAGGTGAACCCAAGCTGTTGGATATGTACTAAATTATTTTTCTTACTGATTTCATTAGCTATGATTGAAATTGGGTGAATAGGTATATTTAGTGTTCCCTTGTTTCTGCTCTCTAAAGGCAGAACTGCTGTACCTTGCAATGAACTGGGAACTTTCACTAAATTAAAATTGGTGTCATGATCATTGGGTCAGAGAAAGTAATATCTTGTTCTCAGACAAACTAAACTAAGGCAGAGCAAGTGAGGAGCACCTTCTGGAGGAGAAGGTTGGACAAGAACCACCTCCAGTCTTCCATAACTTTTGCTATTGTGTGGTTGGGAGAAAAATAGAATATGCAGAACATGTCAGTCATTTGATAATGTAACATTTGAGAATGACTTTATGTTCATGACAGTTTAAATAAAACCCAACAAATCAAGAAGGAGGAAGTACTATCTGAGTTCCAATTCCAAACAGAAGTGCACCTAGGGGCAATAAAAATGTGTTGGGTATTCTTGGTGCAGGAATTGGCAAGTGTGACTAACAACAGATGAAGCAATACATATAGAGTGGTTAAAAACTAGACCTTATGGGAATGTTTCAAAATTCAGATATGGATGAATGGCTATACAGCAAATTTTAAGAGATTCATGTTAATGTTGTGTTGGCACTTATGGCTCTAATGGTAATATCCAATGACACTGAAACAGATGTGGTAGGATGGCTTCTTATTAGGAATATTAATATCTAAATACATAGACAAGGGCCATAACTATTTGCTCAACTGAAAAGTTTCTATTTAAAAGGCAGGAAAAGAATTGGATTTTTTAAAATCACATTTACAATTATTATTGCCCAGAAATTGTAATTGATAATATTTTAGTAATGATCTCATATCTGTCTACTCATATAAAAATTAAAAAAAGTACTATTACATATGTTTCTAATAGTTCAAAGGCATAATCTTTAAGGACACACACATATGTGTTTAATAATATCTATATTAATGTGGATCTTTATGCAAATAGCATAAAGCACCTCTCTTTTATAACTTCAATGTTTAAACAATAGTTATTCGGGACTTGGGATTCTGTTTACCAGGATTGTGGAAATAGCCGATGGTAAACCTAAAAAAAGGCTTTAACTCTAATAAGGGAATTTCAAGAATTATCCAGATATGAAATAAAATACTATCCCTGATACTAAAAGAAACAAAACAAACAATTCCAAAATTATCCTGAAATATGTGAACATACAATAGATGTTAGGTGATTTATTATCTTTGCTTTCACACATATCATTGTAAGAGCTTATAATTAATTTTTTCTTATAACTTAGGATATGGAGAATTGGGAACTTTTTTCTTTTTTTAATTTTTTTTTTGGTTTTTAGGCAATTGGAGTTAAGTGACTTGCCCAGGGTCACACAGCTAGTAAGTGTCAAGTGTTTGGGCTAAGGCCAGATTTGAATTCAGGTCCTCTTGACTTCAAGGCCGGTTCTCTATCTACCGTGCCACCTAGCTGCCCCAACTTTTTTCACAAAAGCACAGTAGAAATGATGGGATATTCTGGGGAAGAAGTACAATAAGTAAAAATAGAGAATCAGATTTTAGTTATTTTTAAAATGATAGTCTTCAAATAAGCTTTAGTAGGCAATAGGTTATAGGAGCCAGACACCATCTGGGATCTCGATTAAGTCTGGACAAGGGGAACTTCTGGAAGTCACATTTGCACATAGGAAGCATATAAATACAAGACTCTGCAACACAATTTTAGCTAATTTACATCAAATGCCAACTTGTACTTCTAGAAACCAGTTCACGTAACTGTAGTTAGAAGGACTAGGTCAGGTATTCAAAGCATTGCTGAAGTGGTTTTTTTTTCTTTCGAAATAGTGATTCTAGGCTGTGAAGTTGTGCAAGATTTATATTATTCAGATTTTAAATGGTTCATTTTATTTTTTATTTTGACCAAAAATCCACAAAATAAACATTTCTTTATACATATATACAGCAGAATACACAATATGATTGAATAAGATATTATAAGCCTATATTTCATACTGCTTTCTATTTTTTTTTAAAAAATAACTAATACATTCCATGTGTTACATTTAAAACTGTCTATCTTGTTTGTGCTTCCTTTTGAAACTCCACACTTGAATGGCCTTTTTAAATTATGATCATTGTTTCTAAAATCCCTCCAATAAAAGCAGAGGGAAAAATCATTGTAATAAATAAGCACAATCAAGCAATACAAATCCACAGAGTGGCCATGTTTATCCAATGTATGTTTTTGCACCTCAAGTCTATCACCTCTCTCTCTCTCTCTCTCTCTCTCTCTCTCTCAGGAGGTAGGTAATATGCTTCATTTTATATGCTCTATAAAAATGATCCAGCATTTATTTGATCAAAATTAATAAATATTTCAAAGTTTGTTGGTTTTTAACAGTAATTTTGTCATTGTATAAATTGTTCTGGTCTATTTATTTTGCTTTATATCAGCTCATCCTTCTCAGGATTCTCTGAAATCATCTTTTCATCATTTCTTATGGCACAATTAATATTCATTATATTCATATGCCTCTTTGTTTAACCATTCCCCAACTTTTTTTTTTCAGTTTAAATCTTTTGTGCGATTTGTTGTTTTCCCCTTCTCTATCATGAGATGGGAAGCATCTTTCATCATTAGTCATCTGGGATTCCAGTTTTGCTTTGTTTTTGTTGTGTTTTGTTTTTGTAGTGAACGTTTGGATTTCAGTAGAGTGTAAATGGACCCACTGCAACTCAGAATATTAACTAATACTTGCTACCTTGTTTCCTTCTGCCTTGTAAATAGTAAATATTAATAGTGAATTTGATGTCACTATTCTCTAGTGCAAAGTCAGTTCCCTGTCTCTTGAGGGAACTCATTCATCATGGATCAACATTTCAACTTACTTTTACATATTGATCTTCTGCCTGAAAATTTTTGAAGAAATTATGCTTCTGGATCAAAACATTTCCTTTGACAAGTGCTGTTCAGTTGAAGACACTCTGCCTCCTTCCCTCTCTTCCTTCCTTCCTTCTTTCTTTTTTTATTTCTTTCTCTCTTCCTTTCTTCTTTTCCTCCTTTCTTTTTTCCTTCCTCCCTTCCTTCTTTCCTTCCTTTTTCCTTCCTTCCTTCCCTCCCTCATTCCTTTACTTTCTTTCTTTTTCTTTCTTTGAATTAGCAAATTCACACAAAACATGAAAGTTATTAAAACAAATCAGAAGCCATATCTGAAACTATACAAGTTTCTTTGTTATTTTATAAAGCAATTTAGAATCAATTTGTTTATATTTTTCCCTGACATAAGACATTAGCTATGTAATGCGCTGCTGTATTTCAAATCAGAGGACTTGGGTTAAATGACTAACACACTTCCTATGACCTCAGGCAAGTCATTTAACCTCTCTAAGCCTCTCTTTTATAAAATATGAGGAGTTTGGATTAAACAACATTTATTCACACCACTTCTACTTCTGAATACACCATCCCTTTCAACATACTTTAGATGGGTTATATTAACATATAGATCAAGATCAATGGATTCACTGGGGAGGGAAAGAGCAAGACAAAGAAAAAGAGAGACAGATAAGAAGAAGGGAGAGTCCAGTTGCATGCTATCTATTCTGTACTTACACTGTACCAATCCTTTCTGATCATAGACTTCCTAGATAATATCCCTTATAACACTAATGGTGTGAAAGCTTTCTTGGGAAATAATATTGTTATCTATGGAGTCTGTTGTTCCTTATAGATCTCTCCATTGCATTTTGGATTATTTAATTGCCATAATTAGAATACATAAGCAATGATTGTCTTTACAGTTTTACAAAAATAAGATCATTACAGATTTTTTTTTCCAGGAAAAAAAACCTACCACATACCTGAGAAAATAGGCTATTTTATATGGTTTATTGGATGGAGTGCTAAACTTGAAGTTAGGAGCATTCTGACTTCATTGAACGTTGCCTCAGATATTTAGCCCTACATGAGACATGTAATTTCTGGTAGCTCTATTTTCTAAAAATGGTAATTAGTAATAATAATAATAATAATAATATCTATGTGATTGGGCTATAGTAAGTACAAAATGATGGAATTAATAATTAAAGTCTTCAGCTGTGGGACTCCTAAATATTTGTAGATAGTTGAGCAAAGCCAATATCAGAATTGTGCTTTTCCTCATAGTTGCCACTTATCAAAATACCCCTTTCTTAAGGGGTCACAAATATTATGAAGAAGAAAAGTACAAAGCAATTAAG